CCACTCATCCATTCATCCACCCATCCATCCATGCACCCATCTACCATCCACCCATCCACCCATCCATCCATGCACCCATCATCCATCCATCCATCCATGCATCCATCCATCCATCCATCCACCCATCCATCCACCATTTACCTCCATTCCCAGCTGAACTCTGAGGGTTCGGGTGGTTCCTGACCCTGAAGACCCTTCCTTCTCTGGCCGCCCTCACCAGTCCCAAGGCTGGGCTATCTTTCCCCACCCTGCTGAGCCAGAGCCCAAGAAAGAAATCTTGGTTCTGCCTCTGTCACGGTCCTAAGAAGCACAGCACCAAATGGCCAAGGCTCAAACCTCGTTCCCTTCTGGGCTTCTCCGGCCTCTCACCATACAAGCCCAACACAAATGCATGCCCCATCAAACATTAAAATACCCCAAACGATCCAACAAATAGGGCTCAAACTCTACCTCGCCCAGCCTGCATCTTCTTCCCCACAGTTCCCCAGAAAATCTTTTGTCAAACCACTCACTCCAGGCTTTGCTGGAGACCTGGCCACTGAGGCCAGGATCTGGGCTTCAGATCCCCAGTGGTAGCTGGAGGTGACCCCATGCGCACTGACCTTTCCCGGAAGTACTTGATGGCCTCAGGGTCTATGAAGGTCGGCTCCTCCCGGTAGCCTTGCTCAAAGACCTTCCGCTTGTGCCGAAACTCAATGACCGTCTTGGTGTAGGAGTTGAGCGTGGTGACAGAGGCCGCCATGCAGCAGGTAAAGGAGCCCCACGCCAGGCTGCCAAGAGACCAGAGATACCAGTGAGGGGGAGCAAGGGCCAGGAAACCTCCCACCCACCAAACCCTCAACCATCCCCGTATGGCTGCCTCCCGAGAGAAGACCCTGAGCCGATGCCGCAGTGCAGAAGAGCAAGACACAGTCCTTGCCGCCCTCGGCCTCGTGTAGGAGACTCGAAGGACCTGTACATTATGATGCTGAGATGACAGAGTTCATTATTAGGAGGCAAGAAGAGAGCGAGTCATTGCACCCAAGGGAGCTGGCATTTGGAAGAGTTACACTGCTTTCAAAAAATGCTCACACTGGGTCTTGCAGGGGAAGTGAGCTTTTACCTGGAGAAGGCATTGCGGAAAAGGGAAACAGCCCGGCAAAGGCACACACAATAGGCAGCACCCCCCCCATCCCACCCCACTGCTTTGGGAGGCGTGGGATGCGAGAGTGAAAAATGGCAGGAGATTTTTTGGAGCTGATGATGGCGCAGTAGAAAGGCCAGGACATTCTACGATGGGAGTGGGGAGCATCTGCCTGTGGAATGATGCGGCCCTCGAAATCATCAATACCAGATAGCATCACACGCCTCACCAAAGAGAGGCTGTTCCAGCCATCACATTAGGGGTGAGTCAGTTACGTGTTTGGCCCTCGAATGATGTTATAAATCTCCAGATAGCCCTTGGCAGGGGAAAAAAAAGGTTCTCCACCCCTGTTCTACAAGCTGGTTTGCCACCAGAGTTAAATAACTTGCTCATGTGTGACCTTGAGCAAGATGCTTGCCCTCTCTGTCTCACAGCCCTTGGGTCGACTCTCCGATGGACAAAATAACCAAGTTGTTACAAGAACTAAAGGAGACCATTCGTGGAAAATATCTTAGAGCACCTGCTGGAGCTCAGGAAAACCTACTCAAGAAAACCGGCGACCGACCAGTCGCTTCTCTGTGACGTGATTCCAGGCCCGCCCTCCGAGAGCTTGAGCTATAGCGGGATGACACTTGCTACTGCACACTGGGATGCTACGACTAACCAAGGAGCACTGGCGGCGCTGTGGGTTAAGTGCTGGGCCAGCGGTTCAAACACACCCGCTGCTCCACAGGAGAAAGATGAGGCACACTGTTCCCCCACAGAGTCCCAGCCTCGGAAGCCCCCGGGGCAGTTCCTCTCTGTCCTGTGGCGTCGTTAGGACTTGGCGTGCACGCAGTGCCACTGGGTTGGGTTTGGTCAGGGTGTGTCCACCAGTATCCATTCCTCCTTTTCGTAGCAGCACCCCAATTCGGAAGTGCCAGCTTCTTCCCTCCTCTCAGGCCAGGTAGTTTTGTGGGTCGGTCTTGCCTCACCTCCCAACTTTCAGAGGTTGACCAAGAAGCGTGCGGTTTCCTTGCGGCGATGGTAACTGGTTTAGGGCTGGGCGTGTCACTGACGTCAGGGTGACGAGGCGATCCCAGGACTTTTACCCAAACTCATCTTTCTTCTGCATTGTTAGTTGTAGAGACTTAGGTCGGGGACTTCTGGGGACCACCCGGCCTGAGAATAAAGCGGACCTAAAGGAAAGCCACCAAAAGGAGCCAGATCCCCAAGGGAACGCCTTTTATTCCTGGACTTTCCAGTGACGGGAGCCCTCAATGACCAGCCAGAGTGCTCCTCAGAGGCAAGGCTGGCCAGACTTCCTCTGACGTAGTTCAGACGTGTCGTCAGGAGAGACCCGTCCCTGGAGAAGGACACTGTGCTTGGTAAAGCAGAGGGCAGAGGAAAAACAGGGAGGTCCTCAACAGGATGGCTGGACACAGTGGTAGCCATCCTGGGCCCATGCTTAAGAACCACCCGAGGTGGCGCAGGGCCCCGGTCGTGTTTCCTTCTGCTGTGAACGGTCTGTAGGAATCGGAACCAACTGGAAGGCACCTAACAACAACAACAACAACATTCCTTCGTAGATTTCCCCCCTTCTTTCTCCAACTAGCTTGAATTGGGTCCAACCTCTGCTCCAGATGTTTGTCTCCAATTGTTTTGAGCCAGTTCTTACTGCTAGAGATGTTAACTAAGACCAGGTTTGATTTCCAAGCCAGGGATCGGAGCAAAAACTGTCCAAGCACTGGAACGAAAGACCCCCAAAGGAAGCAATCACCCTGCAGGATGGTGGCGTCTGAAGGGCAGGCGTTCATTCAAGTGGGACCACTCCGAAAAGTGGTGCTGAAGGTGTGGAGCAGAGACAGCCACTAGACAGGCTAGTGGGAACCAACCCCCCCCCCCCCCCCCCCCCCATTGCCTTTCCCTCCGTTTAGATTCAGAACCTTTGGCTCAAGTGCAGAGGCATCCTGGGCCTGCTCTCTCTGGCTCCCACTCTCCTTGTTACTCCTTAAACACACAGGCTCACTCACTTCCCATGTCGGTCCCTCGGAGTTGCTATTTTCTGATCTTTTCTGTGCTCTCTTGGCTGGCTCTTTGTCACTCCCCAGCCCTCAACTCCTGTTCAACCGGATCAGTCTCCATCCCACCCCGTCATTCTCTGGCAGGGGCTTCTCCTATTATTTATTGTGGTTCATTTTCACCTGAACCTTGTGCTGTTGAGATCATTGTAGATAGGCATGCAATCGGAAGAACTACAGAAAGATCCCGTCCACCCTTTGCCCATTGGTCCCCTAAATCTGCAAACTGTTAATAGACATAACAAGTTGGGTGAGTCTCCAAAGAATGGAGCTGCATGAAAGAGCCAGTCCCAGCCCTCCACACTGCATGCTTCCATCACGTTCTTGAAATGGCAACTCTAGGAACGGAGGAGAGACGAGTCGTTGACCAGGGATTGCGGAGTAGGAGGAAGTAGGAGTGGCTACCCAATGGCAACCCAAAGGATTCTCCTGGGAATGGAGTCGCCCTGTATCTTGGCGGTCAATATTCTAGATGTAATACGGGATGCATGGTTTGTTCCTTTATATTGCTGACTAGTAGTCCATGACGTGGCGTAGAAGTGACACTGTCTGTTGAACCATGAACCCAAGGAAGGATACCTGATTTATTTCCAGGTTGGGGCGGCTCTGCATTAATCTGCTGTAAATATACATGTGCAGGTCTTTGTATGCAGACAGCTTCCATTTCTCTGGGAGAACTACATATCACCGCAATAAATATGTAGGGTGACCTGGAAGTCGCAGGTTCAGTTCTCGATGAAAACGCCAAACCTTCCAGCAAGGCTGAACCCCTTTGCAGTCTTTCCAACAACATATGTGTCTCCACATCTCTGCCTGCCTCTGGGGCGGACCCCCATTGTGTTAGCTTGTTTGAGGCTTCCTGGTAGATATGCATGGATATCTCATTGTGTCCTCCATTTGCGCTTCCCGGATGACGAACGGCAGTGAACTCTTCTCAGGTGCTTATTTTCCGTCCGTTTCTCTTCAAGGTCATGTCTGTTCAGGTTTCTGCCCATTTTCTAATTGGATTTCTTTTTTCAAACTCTTGGGTTTTGAGAGTTCTTCACATATCCTAGCTGCCAGTCCTTTATAGTAATTTTCTCCCTGTCAGTCATCCTCTTCGTTAGGTCCCATTTACCCAGTTTTTCTGTTTATGCTTTTGATATCAAGCCCTAAATCCTAAAAGTGTGCCCCTATTTTTCCCCTGAAAGTTTAAAAACTTTATATTTCAGTCCACGATCCAGCTTGAGTTAATTTTTATTGTGTGTGAGGTTTAAATCAAGGCAGATTTTTTTTGCCAATGAGGGTCTGATTGTTCCAGCACCATTATTGAAAAGGGTATTCCTCCTTTACTGGATTGTCTTGCACCTTTGTCAAAAAATGATTTGGGAATATTTGTATGGGCTCATCTTTGGATCTGTTCCATTGATATACGTGTCTACCCTCCAACAATACCACACGGTCCTCATTACTGTAGTTATATAATAGTCTTGAAATCAAGTAGACTGATTCCTTCCACTTGATTATTTCCCAAAATTATTTTAGTTATCCTCACTTCTTTGGATTTCCAAAGAAGTTTAGGATTCTGTGAGCAGTATCTGTAAGAAATCTTGCTGCGACTGTGTGGTGCAGGGGTTCCTCTTATGTGACCTTTCTGCCTCTGGGTTTGCAATTCTCCCAAAGTAATTGGTCAGGACCAATGGCCCAGTGATTGGTTGGTTTGTTATCTGCCTAAGCAGATTGTAAGGACTGGGTCCGTTTGCTGGCGACTTAAGTGAGTTGTAAAAGATTAATTGGGTGGCCCCTTGAAATTGCCATACAAGCAGCCCATGTCAAAG